GCCTGCATCACCCTGCATGAGTGTATATGTATGAACATAGCAATAGTAATAATTAAGTTTTCATCACAGGATCTCAAAGCACTTTGCAAAGGTAAGTGTCATTATCCTCATTCTGCAGAGAATTAAAATGAGACCAATCTGGGAACAGATTTCAGGGTACTAGAGGAGAGTCAAGAGAGCTATCTATTAGATCTCATTGTGTCTCTAATCAGATGTGAAATTTTCCAGCATCATGCAAAACAAAATCTAAATATATCCAAAAATAAACTGGTTAAAATAGACAAAACAACATGCAAAGCCACAAGATTATATATGTTGTCATGCATTTTCTTTCTTTTCACTGAGCTACGCCTTGCTCATGTTGGCAGGATCAATATTTAAGGTTACTGTAATTGTATTTCTATATCAAAAATTTTAAAAGAGAGTAATGTGTGAAGTTTATACAGTAAAGTTAAACTCAAGAACAAATATTAGGTTTACAAGACTGTAAATCTGGAAATAGTGCAACTTGTGATAAGCAGTAATAGTTATATATACCGATTTCAAAAATGAATGAAAAACTAGCTGGGAGGGGGAGAGCCTGATGTCTGAACGATTTGCCAGTGAAGAAACAAAAACTAGGTGAGGTTGACCAAAGAGTGAGAAAAGTATTAGAACTGGGCAGGAAACAGTTCTCTTGTCCTGCAAGAATTTTCAAAATTTTAAAAAACTTTCCCATGTCTGATCAGAACAAAAAGTAGGAATATTGAAAATTTTCAGAAGCTGAAAATCTATGTTTTTTTTTTTTTTAGATCAGATCAAAAAACTTTTGTTTAGATAATTTAGAATCATTTCATTTTGATTTTTAAAACTTTTTAAAACTATAAATTAACTTTTTCAATTCAAAACAAAAAGTCCTTTCAACCCTAAACCTGGAACTTTTTGTTACAGGATATTGAGAATAGATACTGGAATCCTTAGCTCCAGCCAACTTCCTGTTGCAGAATTTGAGCTTAGCTGCTCGTCCTCTTAAACCCTAGCAATTAATTTACATTGGTTGATATTCATTTACATTTTCAAGGCTACGATAGCAAGAAAAATGGCTAGAGACTTATACTTTGAAGAGACAAAAGTAGAAATTTTCTTTCACATTTCTAGTGGCCTTGAATCATGGGGAAGGGTCCATGGCTGCAAGATATGAGGAGACCAGAAGATAGCTCTGACTGTGACTGAATTAGTTCCAACATTAGCATGGAAAAACTGTTATTCAGAGAGTCATCCCACACAAAGCAAGAAGTAAATATATAGTGAGATGTGCTAAAAAAAGAAAGCTGTTACATGGAGGAGGAAGAGGAAAGTACTGCGCTAATACCTGTCAAGATAAAGAGAGCTAATTAAAGAAAACAAAAGCTCCAAATGTGCAGTATTTTTGATCCATGTATTGGGAGCATTTAATTAGAAATATGTAGGCCTGATTCTGCACTACCGTGCACCTTCTGGGATCACCTACACACAGTATGTGTAAAATACTATTGTGTCAGAATGGCACTTTCACAGGTTTAAATGACTGCAGATAGGTTTTATTCTACAGTATGTTGCCCTATGTATAAAATACAAGAGAGAGAGAAGTAAACATCATTTTAAAATATATTGTGACTTCTTCCCTGCTGGTAATGCTTATGATGAAATGCTCAAACTGCTACATATTGGCAAGGAATTTCAGTGCTATCCTTATTTGTTTTATTTTTTTTAAATATGTTTGGCTATCATTTTCATTTTCTTCCTATCCTAATATTTATTATATCAAAAATAACCAAGTTAATGCAATATCATGACTGAAGTGCAGAATATCAAGTATTTAAGTGCATAGAAGTCTGAAAATGATAGGTTTAAGGTCCATAGCCACCTTTACTCTATTCTTCCTGTGTGTATATTACAATAGGATCTCTTATTGCAAGCTGCTAACTGCTGGTAACTGTTGCATATTATTGGGCCACTAATATAATATGAAGAAATAGCACTTTTCATAAAGTCATAGATGTAAAGACCAGAAAGGATCATCTAGTCTGACCTAAGCATAGTGCAAGTCAGGAAGACTTCTCTGAATTAATTTGAACCATATCATGTCTCTTAGAAAAACATCCACTCTTGATGATCTTGGCAAGTTGTTCCAAAGGTTAATTACCATTGTTGTTAAAGTTTTGCACCGTACAGTATGAATTTGTCTAGCTTCAGCTTCCAGCCATTGGATTTTGTTATACCGTTGCCCATTAGAGTTCTATTAATCAAATTTCTATTCCCCAGGAAGGTACTTTATATAAACTCTGAACAAGTCACCCCCTCAATCTTCTTTTTGATGAGCTACATAAATTGAGCTTCTTGAGTTTTTGACTATATGGCATATTTTCCAATTCTTTAATCATTCTTGTGGCCAGGGCCACCCAGAGGATTCAGGGGGCCTGGGGTCTTTGGCGGTGGGGGCCCTTCCGCTCCAGGTCTTCAGGGCACTTCGGCAGCAGGTCCCGGAGCGAGTAAAGGACCCGCCGCCGATTGCCGCCGATGACCCAGAGCGGAGGAAGCTCCGGGTCTTCGGCAGCGGGTCCTTCACTCGCTCTGGGTGTGTTCGGCGGCACTGAAGGACCTGCCGCCGAAGACATGCTGAAAACTCTTGTGGGGGCCCCTGCAAACTCTCACGGGGGCCCCTGCAGGGCCTGGGTCAAATTGCCCCACTTGTCCCCGCCCTCTGGGCGGCCCTGCCTGTGGCTTTTCTCTGAACCGTCTCCAGTTTTTCAACATTCTTCTTGAAGTGTGGACACCAGAACTGGAGATAATTCCAGTAGTGGTTGCAACAGTGTCAAATATATAGCAATATAACTGCTCTACTCCTGCTTGATATTCCTAAATTTGTTCATCCAAGGATCACATTAATCCTTTGGCCATATAGTTGAACTAGATGCTCCTGTTGAGCTGATTATTGACCATGACCACCCCCTTTTCAGAATCAATGCTTCCCAGGGTAGAGTCCCTCAGCCTGCAAGTTAGGCCTCTATTCTTTGTTCCTTGATGTATGTCTTTGCATTAGGCCATATTAAAACACATATTGTTTGCTTGTGCTCAGCGTACCAAGCAATTCAGATTGCTCTGTATCAGTGACCTGTTCTCTTCATTATTTACCGTGTATGTGGCATGCTTTGCTTGAAATATCACAACCATATATGAATGGTGAATCTGGTGGTTAGAGGGTGCTACTTTGAGGTACAGTGTAAATTTCCCATTTAGAATTACATTTTGAGAGCTATCAGCCAGTTTTTAATCTACTTCATGTGACTTCGTATTATTTTGTTTTACTTCAGTCTCCCCCACATGTATGTTAATGATACCAAGCACATGCAGAAGCTTGAGAAATGCATCGTGGGACAAGTTTCTGAAGTGAACAAAGATAATATGGGATCCAACCCTTCAGTCCTTACCACCAGTGGGAATTGAGTGCACTGAGCACCCTGGACTGTTCCTTTTACATTAACTTGATTTCCAACCTCTTTCAGCACCAAATGTCTCCAAACAAGACAAAAATACCTATTGTCATTTAGGAGTTACATACATCCGAAAATTGATGTTAGAAACCAAGCTGTTCTTGAGTCCTCTGAATGCCAAGAACATTTACAGTTGTCCTAAAGAAGAGGATTTTTTTTCTTGCTTTGTTTATTTATAAGCAGCTAACTATTTCACTCCAAAAATTACTTCTGGGCTAAGAAACTTCAACAAGAAGGATTTTTAAAAAGAATTACTTTTAAGAAATTTGTATAACTGAGAAGTCATTTTCTTGAGCTGATAGTAACTGATTTAGTTCATTTGGGGAGTTACTGACCTTTCACAGGACAGTCAAATGTTTAGCTATCATGCAAGTTTTTCCTCAGTGGCAGGTCTGGGATTTTTTGAGGTGCACTGGAGTTGTGGTTGGGAGAACTTCAGTTCATTAACTGGTACCTTCTGTAATCTAACTGATGAATGTAGATTTGGAACTATATAAGGAGTTGAGGGTTGTTTCTTTCTTTTTTTTTTTTTTTAAGTATATGTGATGAGAGATCACAACAGGCAAGTTTTTATTAATCTGGAAAAGAAAAATTAATGTGACTGAAAAACAGACTTTTAGAAGAAAAGTGCCATCTCAATCTTAACTTGATTGTTGTTATAATTTTCTTGTGGGCGGGGATTTATTCAACAATGTGGGTAAATGGGTAATGTGTTAAAAATAAACTTGAAAATGTCTTCACATCCTGCCTTATGGAGGTGTTATAATATAGTGTGTGCATATGTGCACATATGTAATGTAAAAACAACGAGGAGTACTTGTGGCACCTTAGACACTAACACATTTATTTGAGCATAAACTTTGTGGGCTAAAACTCACTTCATCAGATGCATAGAGTGGAAAATACAGTAGGCAGGTATATATACACCAGGGGTCAGCAACCTTTCAGAAGTGGTGTGCCAAGTCTTCATTTATTCACTCTGCTTTTAAGGTTTCGTGTGCCAGTAATACATTTAAACATTTTTAGAAGGTCTCTTGTCTATAATATATAACTAAACTATTGTTGTATGTAAAGTAAATAAGGTTTTAAAAATGTTTAAGAAGCTTCATTTAAAATTAAATTTAAATGCAGAGCCACCCAGACCGGTGGCCAGGACCTGGGCAGTGTGAGTGCCACTGAAAATCAGCTCGCGTGCTGCCTTTGGGACATGTGCCATAGGTTGCCTACCCCGATATACACAGAACATGAAAAGATGGGAGTTGCCTTACAAAGCGGGGGATCAGTGGGTAATGTGGGTATGTAATGTGTTACCTTTCAGTATTTTAGAATTACCAGATGTCTTCAAACATCCTTCTGCTCTAAGCCAATTTAATTCATATTAACGTGTAATATTAGCATATAGACAATGGTACTTCTTGGAATAGATTGCTGCTCTTAAATGTAACCTGTATCCATTATAAACAGTCTTTTTTGTTTTCTTTTTAATAGATTCTTTTGAGGTATTTGTGCCACCAACCAACCACACGATTATTGAACCAGGGGGAAATGTGACACTTAGATGTCCTTACAGTGTTGGAGGTTTGGTGCAGGAAGTGATGTGGGAAAGGATTAAAGCGGATCGGATGGATACCATAGTCCTGTGTAATTTGTCAGAAGGGAAAACCTATGGTTCAGATTACCAGGAGCGTGCAATGATAGACTGTGCTACTCAGGAGAGCGACATCCTTGTCATTCAAAATATTACATCTTCTGACTCTGGAATTTACCGCTGTCGTTATGGTGGAAACAAAACCCATGTGATGAGCTTGACTGTCACTAGCGGTAAGTGAAGGGGCAGATGGGAACTCTTTGAACTGCTAATGTTTTCCACCCACACACAAATACTTGTAACTGCTAAGTGGGCTTCTATGATGTCACATTCAGACTAGCAGTATGTCATGAATAGCTAAATGTGGTGATTACTGTGGCTTCCACAAGGCTGGGCTGAATTTGAGCCTGGCTGGTCTCTCAGCTGTCTCAGGGGAACCAGTGACTGTGTGGGAGTGAGAGAGAAGGTGAGAGGGGTGGTTTGGAACAGGGGAGAGTAGTGGGAGAGAGCTACTTAAGGCTGGGAAGGGGAGTCTCCAGCTCCATTCAAGCTGCACCCTGGGAATTTCCCAGTGTTTATCCCCTGGAGCAGGGGTGCTGGAACAGTTTTTATAGTGGGGGTGCTGAGAGCCATTGAACCAAACTGTAAATCCTGTATATGATGGAAACCACTTCAAGCCAAGGGGTGCAGCACCTAGTTCCAGCACCTCTGCCCTGGAGTGAACTACGCTGGGTTCCAGAAGCGTGATGCACTCTGAGTTGTAAATATCTGGGAAGCTCAAGAGTGCAGTTTGTCTGGAGCTGCAGCATATCAAACATGGCTGCCATAATATGCATGTTAGGTACTCGTTTATTTATATATATTTGTTGTTTTGCATACGAATAGAGAATTCATCCTATCCGTATTGTAAACTTCTAATGTAATGCTTGTAAAACGTGCCAAACTGACAGCTACGCTTGCTGAAGTCCACTCATTGTCCTTGGAACAGTCTAAGCACACACCGAAACCGTGCAGATTCCCCCCATTGCCCTAAAATGACCTAGGCCTGCCCAGGTGAAAAGATAGCTTGGTCAGCCTAACTCAGTGGTGGGCAACCTGCAGTCCGTGGGCCTCATGTGGCCCATCAGGGTAATCTGATTGCAGGCCGCAAGACATTTTGCTGATGTTGACCATCCACAGGCACGGCCCCCTGCAGCTCCCAGTGGCCGCAGTTTGCCATTCCTGGCCAATGGGAGCTGCAGGAAGCGGGAAGTGTTGCCCACCACTGCCCTAGCTTCTCTACTAATTGTGCGGATGATATGGGGATATGGCCACCACCACATTAGTAAATTAGATGGAGATCATGAAAATTATTTCTTCTAGACCATTGAAGAATTGTTGTGTGATATCAGCCAGGCCTGGCTTCTCACTGGCAATCTGACAGGAAATGCTCCATGTTCCATTATCAATGCACAGAACCATCCAGCTGACAGTGTTTTGCATCACTAAAGGCCTATGGATTGGGATCTCACTACCTTGTGTCAGAACTATATAATGCAGATACCGCATGCAGAGTAAAAATTCAAAATAGGAATTTCTTTTTTTTGGTTTTCTTTTAAGGACTAGTCGATTTTCATATAGTCTTTTCATGCTTCGAAACCTATCCACTGAATTTACAGCCAGGAGAGAACACAGTGCAAAGTGTTAACTATGATGTACGTGAGATTAAAGACTGTACATGTGGGAATATGGAAAAATTTTGCACTGATTGCTTGCAACAATCTCCTTCTTCCTAACAGGAAATCTAACCATTGTGAAAAAATTGATATTCTCCTGTGTATATGTCAACTAACTCACATTTTATTGAATTTTCCATTCATCCTGATACCGCAGAGCTCCTTTGATGGTCCATACTAAATAATCCTGCTGCAGTTTTGATTTCTTTAATATGCTTTGACGGCGCTAAGACTAATTTTAGGTTGTTCTGAGCATGTTTTGAAAGTATAACTCCTCTTGTGCCTTCCAAATTCGACTCCTTCCATTCATGTTTAAGTCCATGCTGTTAAGTACCTTTAAAGGTACTGTTTTTTCTTTGTCATAACTGAGTGTTCTGGATATTCAACATACATCCTAGGACTAGAAGACTTTCTTTAACAGAAATAGTTCCTATGGCATGGAGTCTGAATCCTTTCAGAATGTTTAATCCAAAGGGTGGTTATTGGGGGGTAGAAACATGGAAAAATGAACCGGGCATATTACTGTGCACACCTAACCTGTTGTTGAATGAGAGGGGGAAGGGAAAAAAGCTTTTGAATCTTGAATTTCTCTTGACTTTGACAGTTTTAGGCACCCAAGTTTAAAAATGTTGACCTTATGCAATAATAATCAATCAGGCCTGAACCTGATGAAGTGTCTAGCAAAATTCCTATTGACTCCAAGTGCAGCAGGACACACAAAGCCCAAACCACAACAAAAAAACCCAAACAGTAAAAAGGACCAGTCTACCCCACCTGTTAAAACTCCCTTTCCTAACCTAAAGATTGATTATTAACCTTCTATCGCTTTAAAGAAATCCTATAAATCCCTGACAACTTTGACATTGTCAGTGTACATTTGGTTTCTGCTTTTAACAACTGTTGTTCGATATGAAAAAAGTTGAAAGGCTGTGCCTACAGCACAATACAATTCAATGTGTGCCAAGCCCTCTCCGTCTCAGGTACACACACTGCAACATTACACACACAACTGTGCACCAAGGGTGACCAGACCGCAAGTGTGAAAAATCGGGATGGGGTGGGGGGTAATAGGAGCCTGTATAAGAAAAAGTCCTAAAAATCGGGACTGTCCCTATAAAATCGAGACATCTGGTCACCGTATGTGCACCTTTTATAATAACTAAAGGAATTTTTTTTTATTAAAATGTTTTTCCAATAATTTTGTTTTTATTTTTCAAAAGTGTTATAATGCACAATGAATGAATGAGAGAACTAGGGGGAAAATATTAACTGGAAGGGGGAGAGAGAACTGGTATCACTTCTATACGTAGTAATGCACATTGGAAAACATAATCCCAACTATAGATATAAAATGATGGGGTCTAAATTAGCTGTTACCACTGAAGAAAGATCTTGGAGTCTTTGTGAATAGTTCTCTGGAAACATCTGCTCAATGTACAGCAGCAGTCAAAAAAGCTAAAGATATTAGGAACCATTAGGAAAGGGATAGATAATAAAACAGAATATATCATAATGACACTATGTAAATGCATGGTACCCCCACACCTTGAACACTGTGTGTTATCCCATCTCAAAAAAGATATATTCGAATTGTAAAAAGTACAGGATGGGGTAACAAGAATGATTAAGAGTATGGAACAGCTTCCATCTGAGGAGAGATTAAAAAGTCTAGGACTGTTCAGCATAGAACAGTGGGGTGTGGGAGGAGATATGATAAAATCCTGAATCTATAAAATCATGAATGGTGTGGAAAAAGTGAATAGGGAAGTGTTATTTACCCCGTCACATAACACAAGAACCAGGGGTCACCCAATGAAATTAACAAGCAGCAGGCTTAAAACAATGAGAAGGAAGTACTACTTCACACTATGCACAGTCAACCTGTGGAACTCATTGCCAGGGAATGTTGTGAAGGCCAAAAGTATAACTGTCTTCAAAAAAAGAATTAGGTATGTTCCTGGAGGATAGGTCCATCCATGGCTATTAGCCAAGATGGTCAGGGACATAACCCCATGCTCTGGGTGTCCTAAGACTCTGACTGCCACATGTGAGGACTGTATGACAGAAGATGAGTCACTCAATAAATTGTCGTGTGCTTTTCTCTCCCTCTGAAGCAACTGGTACCAGCCACTGGTGGAAGACAGGATACTGGGCTAGATGGACCATTGGTCTAACCCAGTATGGCCGTTCTTATGTTAACATTCTGAGAGATGTGGGGAAATTAATGAAATGTCCAACCAAGGTCAAATTTAGTTACTGTGGCCTGGTTCAGCACTTGTTTTGAATGAGCCAAAAAAAAAAAAAAATCATTTCTAGGCATGACTACTTGATATATCATTTTATGTATTTCCTTTTCATATCCATTTAGTCACCTCATTTGGCCTGGCTTTCATTTGGGGCTGCAGAGCCAAATAATAGTCCAGGTTCAATCTCCTATCAAACTCCTTACCATTTCTTCCTGATCTGGAAGTGGATTAAAACCTTGAGAGGTTCTGTACAAATATTGCAAGCCAGAACTAGATATAGGGTAAGGAGAGGGAAGAGTCAAAGATGACTCAGGTTTTGAGTCTGGGAAATTGTGGAGAATAGTAGAATTGTAAATAGTGATAGAGAAGTGGTGGTGGAGAGGGATTAAGAGGAAAGATTAGAAATACAGTTTTGAAGAGACTGAGTTTGAGAAGATGGTTGGCCGTTGTAGAAAAAAGGTCTGACAATTTTGGAAACGGAGAAACTGGACAGAGGGGCATCGGATGGGGGCAGAGAAATAGATTTGGGAGTCATTTGCAGAGTTGAAGCCATAGAAACAGACATACTCAGGTTATGAGAGAGAAAATACTGTGGGAGAATAAAAGTTTCCCCTTTTCTAAATGTGCATTTTTTCATCTCTTTCTGCAAACAGAAATCACACCATGCACTTCTAGTCAAAATCAGGAGGAGTACAAGCAAAGTAAGAAAATATACCACGGGAGGCTCATACAACGTTTGTCATTAGAAGTCCGCATGCTACACCTTGACATTTGCTCACAGGAATGAGAGTGCGGCCCACTTAATACTTTGATTTTTCCCCAGTCTATCCTTATTAGTTGTATGTATTGGTTTATTTGTGTTACAATAACACTTGGAATCCCCGTTGAATGGGGTGCTCTACAATCAGATAAGACTTTCTCTGTCCCTAAACCCTTACAATCTGACTAAAGACGTGAAGGGACAGCTAGTTTGCTGTATACAATATAGAGAAGGGTGACAGTAATAGGAACACAGGGCTGAATATATTGGCTAAATAGATAGCATTATTTTATTTTTAAACAAGCAATCTTGGCTGTGTTCAGCAGATCTCAGAAAGTTCAATTTCTAGTTTGTGGTGGAGTGATCTAAGGCTGTCTATTGTTCTGCAGGAAAAGTGTCATTTGTAGGGATGCTGTTTCAGATTTTTAACCACCTAGGTTTAAAGTGCTGGCAAAGTTCACTACTTTTGTGCTGCTTATTTCTCTGTCTGCCCATCCCAAGAGAGATCTTTACAAAAGGTGGTATAACAATTTATTTCTAATCTAACCAAAGGAAGACAGAAAAGGTATGGGTAGTTGTGGGATTTCTCTCTTTTTCTGAAAACCAGACAAGTTTTTAAGATGCTTAAATATGGATTTAGGGGCCAGAAGTGCGTCTGTTGTGCACTGAATTACACTAGCTTAGCATCTGGCCCTATGTGCCAAACTTCCAGGCATACAAGTTTGAAAATGTTGCCTATATAAGGTCGGAGTGTCATTATTATTATACCAAGGTACATCTGCTATATTATATTTAGACATTTTGTTTTAAAGTTGGTTTTTGAGAGAGTTAAAAGGGGGATATAGTAAAAAGACCACAAAGGGGGAAGTAATGAGTGGCTAAGAGACCTTGAGCTACCCATGAGCACTGCTGGAGGTATATTCAGTAAGTGGATTAAAGTGAGGTTCAACTTTGATAAGTGCCTGTTTAAAAAAAAAAAAAAAAAAACCACCCCAAAACACAATAGTATAATTGGAGTGCATGTTTATTGTTGCACTGATTTACATATTATTAGAAGTAAAATTTTCCATCTTTCAAGTTTAATGTGTTTAATGTTTCTCAGGCTGTAACCTGTGTAGTGTATCATATCTTCTCCTGGTGACTTGGTTTAACCGCAGCAGCACACTTGAGTTTCAGTGATGATTGATCTCACAAAGACTTCAAAACTCTTGTACTGGTTTTGAAACTGTGAAATCTAAAAGTCCAAACTTATTACAATAAAACTTGTTTTATTTTCTGAAGCAGCAATGTGCTATGGAATCTATGCCTCGTCCTACAATCCTTTTGAATGGTAATTTGCTATGATATGAATCTATTGTAGGATACAGGGAATGTAAGATGTTCATGTTAAGTACCTTATTTTAATTCTAGAAAGCTCATAAAGTATCTTTAAATTGGAAAAGTTGCTGCCAGTTTTTTGTTTAGTATAATAGTTAGAATTAGTGTTTAATTTCACAAATCTTTGCAGTAGATGTCATTGTAGCACTAAATAATTTTAAGCTAAAGAATTAAATCAATCAGAACTATGCAGTACAAATATTCAAATTAAGATCAAGTTGACTGAGCCCCTGTTTTTGTTTGTTTGTTTTTTAAAGAAATACTGTGTAGTTGAATTCTTTTTACTTACCTTCTTATCTTTAAGGCTAGGGTTCACCTGGAGAGTGGTGCCCCACACACTCCTGTACACCCCTCTCACACGGGGGGTGGGGTGTGACCAACCGACCCAACTCTCCCTGCCCAGTGCTCTCCACCCTCCATGCCTAGCTGGGGCCCCGGGATGGACCCGCCTCTCCTGGTACCTGGTGCCGCATCTTCCTGAGGCAACACGCAGGGGGGAGGGGGGCATAGGTTCACATGCCCCCCCCCATATTTCTGCCAGGGTTCACACCAGAATGTGGCCAGCAGCCGCCTTTTGGCACTGTGCGGGAGGGAAGGGATGGGAGCTGCTTCCAGCCACGGAGGAGGAGGAAGGGGGGGAAGGGATGACCTGGCCTGTGTCTTTGCAGAGCTCATCTCTTCACCCCACCTCCCGCATCCTGAGGCTGGAAGCAGCTTGTCCCTTCCTGCCCGCATAGTGTCGAAAGGCAGCTAACACCTCCAGGCTGCTGCTGGCCATCGACATAACCCAGCCGCCTCTGGCTACAGCACAGGCAAGGAGGGGTTAAGCCCTAAAGATGCATTGTGCACCAGGGAACCTGACTGCAGGGGTTTCAGGAAACCCTGCCACAGAGGTGACTCAGCAGGTGAGGGTGCCTAGGGGATGAACCCAAGTTCCCTGAGGGCAGGACCCAGGGCGGGGGGGCCGCGGCGGATGAAGAGGGTGCTAAGCCCCGGCCGCTGCTGTGGAGCCTGCAGGGTCGGGGCACGAACAGGCTGGAAATCGCTTCCCGCCCCCAACTCCAGAGCTTAGCCAAGGGGCGGAGAGGCTTCCCTGTGCCAGTGCTGTTCAGGGCTTTGGCACATGCAGGGCTTGGCTGCTCCTGGCCAGCGCCCCGGACTGGAGGGTCTTGGGCTTTCCTGGGGCATCGGCTCAGCCAGAGGCAGTGGGGGAAGGAAGGAGCCTGCCGGTCAGGCTGTTGGTGAGCTGAGGACTCTGGACAGGGGCTGGCTTTCTGCACAGCGCTAGGAGTGGGATGCACACCGCCAGTGGGGATATGGCGGAGCAGTGGGGATGGGAGGGGGGAAAGGGCAAAGCAAGGAGAGGACAGCAAGAGGGGGAGTAAAGGGATGATTGGTGGGCAGCAGAGGCAACATGTAACCAGTCGCTGCCTGGCACCTGCCTGCACTCACCTGCCACTTGCAGCATGCAGCCAGTGCCGTCTGGAAACAGGATGGGGGGCAGGGTCCTGCTGGCCAAGATCCAGCACGCAGCGGGGGATGTGCTAATGGACCAACCAGCATCTTCACCCCAAAACCAGCCTTGCACACCAACCCCCATCAACCACTGGACCGCCCCCCCCCACTCACCGCTGGTGGGCAGGCAGCTGGCGAGCAGGGACCCACCAGTACTGATGGGGATGGAGACAGAAAATGTGGGAAAATTTGTCCATTTTTAAGAATGTCAGGATACCTTCAGGAGGGCTTAAATACTGGACTGTCCCTTTAAAAATGGGACAGCTGGTGTCCCTAATTAAATCTCCCTGTCTCCTATAAATCCTGTTGTCCCGATGTCTTGCTAAATATGATCATGTCATAAAATTAGATGCTGGCAATAGTTATCCTTTTAATACCTCCATTAATCTGAACTTGCTTTTAATAAGAGCTGCAGTTAATGTCATTCACCTGTTGCTGACTATGGCCCAAACATCTAAATTTTGTATAACAACTCTGCATCCAGCTAATAGGTACTTTCCATCTGAACACATAAATAACCATTCATTCACTGACTATCCTGTCTCTGGTTTATAATTTCCTTTGTAAAAAGAAAATTCTTTTAGTATCAATTGCATTGTTTGCCTTTTTACATATAACTTGACAGGTGAATTTACTGAAATTAGTTTTGGAATCTCCTTTAAATCTCTAACCTTTAATTAAACTTTGGCATTTACTGAATTACTCTGCATGATCTAAAAATGCTTAAATTACTGTAACTAATTAAAGTGATTTGAGCTGAATTAGGACTAGAGGGAAAAAAATCAAAATTGTGTGTCTCTCTCTCTCTCTCTCTCTCTCTCTCTCTCTATATATGACAGGTTTCAGAGTAGCAGCCGTGTTAGTCTGTATCCGCAAAAAGAACAGGAGTACTTGTGGCACCTTAGAGACTAACAAATTTATTAGAGCATAAGCTTTCGTGGGCTACAACCCACTTCTTCGGATGTATATTGAGTGAAACATATCGAGTGTCTGTACTTGGCTACCTTGATTATCACTTCAAAAGTTTTTTTTCTCTTACTTAATTGGCCTCTCAGAGTTGGTAAGACAACTCCCACCTGTTCATGCTCTCTGTATGTGTGTATATATATCTCCTCGATATGTTTCACTCAATATGCATCCGAAGAAGTGGGTTGTAGCCCACGAAAGCTTATGCTCTAATAAATTTGTTAGTCTCTAAGGTGCCACAAGTACTCCTGTTCTCTATATATGAATGACACACACACACCATTCTCTTTAACTGAGAAAAGGCAAAAGGGCTTGTAGGTATTATTTTTGCATCTAAAGCAAAACTATAGATTTTTCTTATCCAATCTGCTAAAGGTTTTATTTGATTTTAAGATTTCTACTTTTGCCAAATGAGTTTTTGGTGCAGATCTGCATAAAGGGAAACCAGTTGGAGAGTTTAAGAAACTTACATTGCTAGTACTTGAATCAGAGACCACCATTTCCAAAGACAGCAGCTCTACGTTTGACTGAAAGGAGCTGCCATCTCCATTAGCTGTCAATAGCCATAGCGCTCTTTCCAGACTACTGGGCACCTGAGAAAACAATACTATTTCAACCTGTTAGGATATAGATATTTAAGCCTGTCTGGCCTATACTTTAAGAATTTAGGTGTATTCTTATCACTTAGCTAGTTATAGAGGTATAAAAGAAAGAATTAAAATCATTGTCTATTTGTGGAAGGGCCTTTTCTTACTGTGACAGTCTGAGGTCCTGTTTAGTCATATTGAAATAAGGCAATCTGGGGCTGTTAGGAAGGTGATCCGATCTATCACCTTCAGAGAAAGGAAAGAGCCTAGAACATGTAAAAGGAAATTTAGTTTGATAGTTTTCTGTCTGGTAAGAACTCACTTATCAATAGAGACAGCTGGAAAACCCTTATGTCTGTATAGATGTAGTTGTGAAATCCTCACTTCTGTATTGTTTTGTATGTTTATCAGCATGGTCTCTGTCTGGTTCTGTAATTGTTTCTGTCTGCTATATAATTAATTTTGCTGGGTGTAAACTAATTAAGGTGGTGGGATA